GCACCCATATAATTATTATCTTTCCTTATAAGTTCTTTCAACATCTTCTTTATTTGATATTTTTTAGGTAGAACTCTTATTTTATCAGGATCTTGAGATCTTTTTTGTAAATATTCAATCCATTGTTTTTTAGAAATCTTTTGAGCCCATAAACATTCCGCTGACATGTAATATATTTTTTCATCCATCAATCCATCAAATTTTGTTGAAGCCCTATTATTTAAAAGTTCTTTATACAGATTTGAAATAGATTCATTCTCAATAGCATGTTGAAGATTGTAAGGATCTCTTATGTCAAGTTTATTACCAGAATAAAATAAAAATAACCTTTCTTCATCATCAAATGAAATAAATTTAAAATTTTTTACTTCTTTTATAATTTGACCTATTAATTAATTATAATTATTAGTAAAACTATAATAACTAACCAGTGATGTTTGTACTACAGATATTTTTAAGAAATTTTTGCCATGATTATTAATTTGGAATTAGAATCAAGGCTACGTAAAAAATCTTAAAGTTATTGTTTAGTATGTCAAATACCAATTGTAGATAAACACCACCGGTTTAATTATTCAATTCCAAATATTGATAATTATACAGAAATCAAACAATGGTACACAAATTAAATAACTTACACCGTGATAAAAGCATCGAATTTTTTACAGAATAAATATAAATAATTCCACTGATAAAAGTTGCGTCTTCTAATAACCTTGAGTATACTGCAAGTAATGTAGAATTTTTATTAAAATTGTATTTAATATAAAATACGTGATTATATTTAGTTATAATATCTAATTGATATGTTTTTTCAATTGATAATGTATTTAAATTCCATTGAGTTAATGATCCACATTTATCAAGAAGCATTATCTTTTCTTTGTTGATCATATGATCTTTTACATCTCGAATTTTTCCACAGAAAATTAATTTATTACTTGTCCAACTTTGCTTATCGTTATGCAAATTTTTAAATGAATCTTTAAGAATAAGGCAATAATTATTGATTATTTGTAGCATTACGAAATCTTCATTATTATAAAATTCAGCTCTAAAATCTGGTATATCATCTGAATATGTATCATCTAAATATGGATATGATTTTAGGATTACTTCCTTCTTAATAGCAAGATTAAGGACTTTAAAAGAATAGTTTTTGGGATTAATTTCAAGTATTGCAAATATTATCAATTATTTTATAAAATGTTTACAAACCAGTCATTCTAATGCCGCCCATGTTCGTTATTACAGCTATTGCAACAAGTTTATTATTTGAAACTGCAACTAACTCTGCTCGCCAGGGGTTTATGTGAAATTCTCTAAGATTTATCAAATTATCAAGCTTGAAGGAAATAGGATGATGTAATTCATTTTCTGTTTGTTCTTGGTCAAGCTGCCATCCACAAATTAATTCTTCAAAATCCATTTCTTTAGTAGATTTCCTGCTATGTGTCACTGCGTACTTGCTATCTGGTGATAGCAAAAAACGATCTATTATTTGGTTACTAGGTAGTTTAGTTGGAGGTTCAGATTCGATTTCAATTTTTTGCTCTTTATTTTCAAACTTCGGCGTCTGTGAAGATTCACCTTCGTTATTCATTTTTAAAATGAATATCTTATTTCGTACGCAATTTACGTTTTAATAAAGTATGGCTTAGAATATATTTAGCA